ATCAGATCGGCGTCCTCTGCTGCCGCTGACCTGACGTCCTGCCAGGCCTCCACAAAGTGGCCTCCCATGCGGTATACCCTGGAGATCAGTCGCAAACCCGAGTCCAAGTGAGTATACTTGGTGTTCGTGTGTGTATTCAGAGAGAGGGAGAGAAATGCGCTTTATTTTGAAGGTAACTATCCAAAATGTTCAGCAAAAAGAGGCTCCATTCACGGAGAGCAAGGGATAAGGTAAGGTGAAAGATCATAGAATACTCCGAGTTTAGGGCTTTATATGATATCCACACCTGCTATGGAGACAGGTCGGAGTTCAACTTCTGTATTTATATTTCTTCACACACGAGGTAGCGTGTTATGAATGGGAGTATAGATTACTGGTATGCCGATGTACGGCAGGACATATGACGGAAGCTTTGGCGCATAGTAAGGGAAGACTTCGCAGCCATTATTTCACAGTGGAAGGATTGATCGACCACACTATGAATGCGATCAGCGAATTGCTTGACCGTTTTAAAGTGCTGCTGCATTATGATATCCGCTAAAAAATACAGGAAACACCGGCAGCTGAAGAAAGCATTTGGAGGATACGTTTAAAAATGACCAGGTCTTTTTAAAGTAAGGCTGGAAAACACTGGAGAGCAATAATGAATGAGAGGGAGAATGTAGGCATCCATAAATCGCCAGATTAGGGCTTGCAGTATGTAATATGAACACAGACGGTGGATATAATATAAAAGTTGCTAATTTTAATAAAGAGGCTTTTCTCTCACCAAGGGACTACAGCTGTTCAACTATGTACACTTTTGAATTTGCAAAAATGCCCATAGAAGGATGCCTTCTCATCACGCCAGTGCGTGTATGGGGTACAATCTCCCGATCTGAACCGGCAAGAGAACGAGATGGTGTCTCAGTGATTAGGGCGTTAGACTCTGATCAAAAAGATCGCAAGTTCGAGCCTCTGGTGGTACACCACTTGGGGTCAGATATAACTGACTGATGATGGCTAATATGCCAGAAACGGCCATTCTAGTCTCCATTGTCTTTGTCGTCAGTGTTATCTGCTTAGACTACTAGCCGCAGAACGGGATGAGGGAGTTCTGTTAATGATCGGTGAACGTTCATCGACGAGCATCGTAAATTATTGCATGTCGTATATAGTAGAATGCCAGCCATATCGATCTATCCACACGAGTGCGACGTGAAGAAAATGTGAGAAGACACTTTCAGGCAATCTGTGTTAATATAGTCAGGTTACCAAGGCCTGTATTATGGGGGAGAAGAGGAAGACGTAGAGAATTGAATGCCGTTGGTAGGTCAACTGACCTTTGGCCATAGTAAAGATGCGGTCTTCTTAATATTCTTCAGTGCTTTTGTGAACTGATTGCGACCTCTTCGGCTGTTGCTAGTAGACGCTGTCCCAGTGGTTTTTAGTAGTGTGATTGGATCTCTGTAAATCCCTCTGAAGGTGTTATTGGGATCCAAAGTTTGCTGTTTCGATCACCCTTTTCAATGGCTTTTTTCTGGTTCTCAGACAAATTGCTACTCGTTCCTACTGCCTGTGCAGGCTTGCGAACAGGAAGTGGATTTATTTATTAATGGTCTTATTTCTG